GAAAGAGGTACTTTTCTCCCTTTCTCACAATGCAAGAACTCATGGGCACTCCATGAAATTGCTGAGCGGTCGGGTTAGAACAGATAAAAGGAAGTCCTTCTTCACCCAAAGAGTGATTAACACATGGAATTCACTACCACAGGAGGTGGCGGCGGCTACAAGCATGGATGGCTTCAAGAAGGAATTAGATAAGCCTATGGAGCAGAGGTCCATCAGTGGATATTAGCCACAAGGTATAGATAGGGGCTCTGGGGCAAGTGATGCTCTGTCTTCTTGGTGCTTGGGGGGGGGGGTCAACAGTGTCCTGGCCCCACTGCTGGACCTCCTGATGGCACTGGTATTTCTGGCCACTGTGTGACACAGAGTGTTGGACTGGATGGGCCTTTGTCCTGATCCAACATCTTATGTTCTTATAGGCTCTTTACTGTCGGAGCTCCGCTCCTGTGTGTTTCTGCAGGAAATGACTCCTGCACACACCTCTGCCTTAAACTGTAAGGATAAACAATGAGGACAGGGGTGCTCTTCTTTAGACCTCCCTCCCCCTCCCCAACCTGAAAATAGCCATGGTGGCTCAGAGGTTAAGACGCTGAAGGTCGGCAGTTCGGCAGTTCGAGACCTGCTTGACGGAGTGAGCTCCCGTCTCTGGCCCCAGCTCCTGCCAAACTTGAAGTTCAAAAGCAAGAAATTGCAAGTAGATAAATAGGCACCGCTTCAATGGGAAGGTAACAGCGTTCTGTGCGCCTCGGCGTCTGGTCATGCCGGCTGCATGACCATGGAGATAACTTCGGACAGCGCTGGCTCTTCGGCTTGGAAACGGGAGATGAGCACCGCATCCCTAGAGTCGGATTCGACTGGCTTTCGAGCAAGGGACACATTTATGACCCCCAAAGAAGAAGAAGAAGAGATTGGATTTATACCCCGCCCTTCACTTGGAGTCTCAGAGCGGCTTACAAACTCCTTTCCCTTCCCCTCCCCACAACAGACACCCCCTGTGAGGTGGGTGGGGCTGAGAGAACTCTGACACAAACTGCTCTTTTTCAAGGACAGCTGTGCCAGAGCTGGTGACCGACCCAAGGTTACATCAGCAGGTGCAAGTGGAGGAGTGGGGAATCAAACCCGGTTCTCCCAGATTAGAGTCCGCACACTTAACCACTACTTAACCAGCCTCTGGAATAAGAGAAACGGGCCAAATCTACATGAATTTACCAAGCAGGAGGTGGCAACCCTCCCCAACAGGGCAGGCTCACAACAACAGCCTTTTGCAGGGGGAGCGAGCGGGATCCCGGCAGGCTGGCTTGGAGAGAGAGGGAAGAGGGTTGCAGGAAGGAAGGAACATTTTCCCATGCAATCCTAAAACCGCTTTGGGGGGGGCAGCCCAGTTGAAGAGGAAGAGGAGGAGGAGAAGAAGAGGAGGAGAACATAAGAACATAACAGAAGCCAATGCTGGATCAGGCCAAAGGCCCCTCCAGTCCAACGCTCTGTGTCACACAGTGGCCAGAAATACCAGGTGCCACCAGGAGGTCCACCCAGCAGTGGGGCCAGGACATTAGAAGTCCTCCCACTGTTGACCCCCCCCATCTATACCTTGTGGCTAATAGCCACCGATGGACCTCTGCTCCATATCTATATATCTAATAGCAAAAGGCGCTCCCTGCATGTGGATACCTAAATCTGCGCATCGGGGGCACCTGGGGGGGAGGGAGATTTCTGTGCACACTTGGGGCAGTCCCCAGGTGTGCGCAAAAATCTAAAAACCTGGAAAAAATATCGGGGGGATACTTAAATCCCCCCAAAAGTGACAGAGCGTCCCCTGCGCATGCACAGGGGACGCTCTGCGAACTCCCTCGCCGCCGCTGCCGCTTGGGGGGGGGGAAAGAGAGCAGCGAGGCCCGAGTGGCAAGCCGCTCAGGCCTCGCTTCGGAGCCAGGGGGAGAGAGCCGCTCAGACCTCGC